AGGCAGGCAGGCAGGCGAGCGGTTGGGAGCCAGCAGTCCTGGATTGTGAGAGGAATGTCCGGCTGCCTGTTTAGGCCTGATCGGGCAGTCAGACATCCCTCGAGGGGTCCCAGATTGGAGAGGGTGCAGGCTGGGCTGAGGAACACACACACACACACACACACGCACACACACACACACACACACACCCTGTGCACAAATTTCGTGCACCGGGCCTCTAGTTTTATATAAAAATCCATTTCTCTTGTAAATCAGATGGTCTCGTGGCAATATATGCACACACGTGAATGGCAAAAACCTAGAGTTTGGGATGGGGCAACACTCCCCATTCTTTGCAGCCCCCAGCTCTCCTGATGATTTCCCCAGACATTTAAGCTGTTACCTGTATTTTATCGGCATGCTGGTACTGTTGACTATTTCCTCTTAAACCTGGCTCACCTTCCTCACTGGTGTTGTGGAGCTATATTTGGATGTACAGCTTCCCGCTTTAGCCCTCTCACTTCACAGTGTGCTGTTCAGCAATATCAGAGAAGCAGTGTTTTCTCTTTGGCCATGTCTACACAAGATCGATGGACAATTCCTGTCCTCTTATCCTTCCAAAGTTGTACTGTCTCACTTCAGAAGGCAAAGAGGCTATTCAGGGGGAAAGAAACTGATAGATGCTTACCAAGATGAGCCAGGTTTCATGAGAGCCTAAATTTAAGTCAAATGTTACCCAAGCTCCAATTGTGCCTGCAGATACTCTGCTGGACTCTGCAGATAGAAGGATGCAGGGACTCTCAGGCAGTCTGGCAAACAAGGAAAATGTAATAAAACAGCTGGAGGTATGGGCAACCAGGCAGTCAATGGGGGCTGAGGAGCACTGACATGGTCCATGGGGAAAACATGGGAAGCTTGGGAAAGAGGAGGAAGATAAGTTTGACTTGAAAGCTATGTGAGGAGTCTGCCTAGTAGGCTGGAGAGAGATGGGATTCCAGGACCAAAGGGCCCAGTGTGGGAGCTGGGAGCTGGGAGCTGGGAGCTGGAAAGTGGGCAGGCAGACTGCAGGTCAGGTCATGAGGGTACCTGTGGAGGGGCTTGCATTGTTTCATGTTCGAGACAGGAAGCCAGTGAGGGCTGCAACAGAAGACAGTGACTGAGGAATGTGACAGGCAGGAGAGAGACACATGAAGAATACTGTAAAAATACAAACACATTGGTTACTATATCTCCTCGTTGTATAAGTTACCATCTTTATACATCAACCCAGAATTATTGTTTCAAATATTCCCATTAGTTTGAGAAGCATTATTTTAAAAATAAGATGATTAATGCCAATGAAGTTGATAGTAGCAGTTACTCTAAAGAAAATGTTACCATACGTAAAAATGTGTGTATACACACACATATACGAAATGAACTGTAAGTGATGTCAGATCCTTTTACTATATATGTATGGGGTGGAGTGTTTATTTCTTAGTTTTATGAAAAGAGAAAATGAGAAACTGAGGGTTTGATGTTGGTAAAAACTGTGAAATATTCACACACAGTATTAAAGACCTCACTAGAGAATTTTTTAAAATGATCAATTAAGGTAAGAGATGAAACTGAAGGAAGACCTGTCTCTTCAGTACCAGTCATTTCATTAATTTAAATAGAATTACAGTTTGGTTAAACTATGACTTGGAGCATTAGAGGAGCTAACCTGACACCAATTCTATTGGGAGAGGTGAATTCCACAAATGCACCAAACTACCCCCACCCGCAGCCCAGGCAGCCATCTTATAAGGACCTTATTTGAATGGTGATGGTGACCAGCACTGTGAAGAATAACTACACTCCCAAATATAATGCTTATTCCATGGGCTGGCTCTTCCAAAACAAGAAACAGCATCTCTGTGAGCTTGTGAAAAGCATTCTTCCTTTCTGATAAATGGTAATCAAGCAACTGAAAACATTACCTGGGGTCTTGAATTCTGAGAAATTTGCTTAAGGTACCAGGAGTCACTTGAAATATATATTTGGTTTAGAACATTTTCATCTGAAGCCACTATTCTGGCTATTGGAACTATAGCCCCTAACCTCTCTGACTACTCTCCTCAGAATTTAGCCACGCATAAATTAAACTTTGCCTAAACAAAACATAAAAATATGCATTTCAACTTAGTAAACTTTAAAATTTGACTATGAGTAATAAAACATTTATTATTAAGTGGAGGACAAGAATATATGTCATGAATTACACCTTTTATTATTGTAGCACTTACAATATAAAATGTACTTCATATATAGTATCTCACCAGATTGTCATAGCACCTTTGGGAGCTAGGCCATAATTTTCCTCATTTCATAGACAAGCAAGCTGGAGCTCTGAGAGGTAAAATGTTTTGCCCAGGGTCACAGACTCAAAGGCTGAGTCAAAAACCTACACCCGCTGAACTAAGTAAGGTCTAGGTCACCAGCCAGGCTACTCATCAAGCCACGCAGCTGAGCAGAGAGGCAGCCTGCTCTGTGGCCACGACACGGGAGCTCATTTCCTGGCTTGGCCTCTCTCTGTCTGTGTGACATGGGGCACACTGTTGAGTCTCACAGGTTCCTCACCTGTACAAAGGGAATCACCAGGTTTGGGCTTAAAGTTACAAAGAAGCATTCCATTCAACCTAGCCTTGAGGGAATTCACAACCCAGTTTATATCACCCCTGAATGTATATATAACAAGGAATCACAGGTCCCCTGAAGAAAGAAAAGGTTAAATCTAAAGATGAACCAAAATATGCCTATTGCAGGCTACAGATATGAAGCATAACTTTGAAGAGAGAACTTCAGGGTAGTACCTGAAAAACCGGAAACAGGAAGTGAGAAAATAAACCAGAAAATCAAAGAGTTCAAATTTAAGGCAAAATCCGTGTCTCAATAGTTCTGGCACAATGTACTTTCTAATCCTGACATCATAAATAATACCAGTCTCCCAACAGGTGTTAAGAAAATAGAGACTAGATTTAAAACAGAATATTTGTGGGAGGAAAAAAAAAAACCATATCTCTACTACTTCCTTAACTTTTAAACAAATTAGTGTTTGAAAGAAAGAGTAACCCTTGGTCATTTTATGAAAGTTTGATTTATACTCTTCCCATCTCAAAAGCTCCAAGCTGCTGAA